AAGTTTGAATATCACTTTATATATCAAGTTTCTTCAATATGATCAACTTTCCACCAATCTCTTGTGTACAAAAGAATGATTACTTCCTCCTTGCCTCAAGTCTCACTTGATCAAGCAAGGAAGTTTTACACTCGCCCGGATAACTCTCACAAAGCTACACTATTGAAGAAATTGAATCACACTTGAAAAACTTAATGGAGATTACACAACTAAGAGTACAAATCTTCTTTTTGGAGTATTCGTACACTTGAACCATTCAAGATCTGATGTAGACTTAATGTGTAAAAGTTCTTTTGAGGAGTTGACTAATCCCAATTTATAGAGAACCAAAAAATTCTTCAATTAATGCTGTCAACGGATAGAAGGTAGCTGGAAGGTCAACTAGCCGTTGGTAGTGTCGGACGTCCGGTACTTTGAATTTTTGCGTCCGAACGAAGACAGTGAGTTCAAGATGATTTCTTGCAATTCTTAGGACGTCCGGTCCCTCCACAGTATACGTCCGAAAGTAAACTTGCAAATCCTTCTTTATTTCTTTCGGACGTCCGATGCTCCAGTGTTTTGCGTTCGAAGAGCGACAACGTTTGTTGGACGTCCGGTGCTCTGATTTTGTGTGTCCGAACGAGGTCAGTGATCATAGATGTTTTGACACATTACCTTCGGACGTCCGAGTGTGAGTTCTTCATGCGTCCGAAGTTACTCAATGGTTGTCGGCCGTCCGATATGGTCCTTTTGTGCGTCCGACAGTAATTTCAGTAATTTGTCAAACCTTGATCCAGTTTTAGCTTCAAGTCTTTGGTCTGATTTTTGTTCCAAATCCTGAAATGGACTCTTTAAAGTATGTTAGTAGCATCCAATTATTTTGTAATCATCAAAAGTTATGAACTGAGATATACATCTCCTTTCAGGAGCAATAAGACTTGACGGAATCTCTGTGTGATAACCTCCGCTTGCATCTTTTTCATTTCCAGAACCAAACAGGGAAATTGCAGCAGATACTCCAGCGTTTGTACCAGGGAAGCAACTGCAGCGTAGGCCATCTCTCAGCTGTAATAGGAATGCATCCAAGACGATTAACAAAATCTGAAGGTACATGAAAATGGGTTGAAAGACAAGCAATTACAGGAACCAGAAGCATAAAAAGGAGAATTTTTTGGTTAAAAATATCCAGTAAGAGATGGGATATGCATGTATTAAGGATAAAAGAAAAACTTGTTGAACATAAGCACCTAACAGAGTAATCAAAAGTAAAAATGAACCCCTTTCGACTGATAGAAAATAAATGGAAGAGAAGTTGTCAGGATTACACTCACCAGTAGCAGAGAAGCAGAACACGATTAGAATTCAGAAGGATGAGATGATCCCTTCTTGTCAAAAGAAAAAATTTTTTTTTCTTGAGTAGTCGGAGTCACTAGAGATGAATACAGAAGAAAATGACCCGATTTTGACTGTAGTAGTCAAACCGGGGAGGAGTCCTCGGTCAACTGTTGGGATACAGTTGTTTTCTACAATCTGTGGATGAAAATGTAAAATTTTAGAGCTTTTCATTTTTGTGGGGGCAATGGATAATATTGACCGTGGTGAGGCCTCTTTTTAGTCTTATCACTTTACCCCTTAACATTTGGTGTTACTATCAATTTTTTCTTTAATGTTATCTTTTAGTCATTTTATCCTTAAAACTAATGGTCAAATTTAACCGAATTTGTTAATTAAAGTAAAAAGACATGTTTAACCCTTAAAATTATTATCACTTTATCCCTATAAAATATAGTATCATTATCAATTTATCTCATAGAATTAGTTTTTAGGCAATTTATCATACCATTAAACTAACTTATCAAGTTAAAAAATTTTAGAAGAAAATACCCTCCTCTTTGCATAATAAAAATAATAAAAAATTTAGAGTGACTCTTCTCCTTTTTAGTATCAAGAAAAAAAGTCAACGTATTAATTTTTTTTTCTTGACAATCTTATTAATATTGAAAAAAAAATAGAAAGATGGAGAGAGGAAGAGGGAGAGAGAAAGCTCAATTCTTTTTTTAAAAAATTACAAATAAGAAAGAATTAAATACTTTTATTATTTTGAAATTATTTCACATTTTTGTTTACCACCAAAATTCCAATTTTAAACCCGACAACCTTAGAGTAATACGATAATGTTAGACTTTTCTTTATTTTCTTTTTTGTAAAATCTACTTTTTGTTTCCTTCTTTCCCATCTTTTTTTCTTTTCCTAGTATTAATAAGTCTGAAAAAAAAAATTTGAGAAAACTCTTTTATTTTTATGTTTTTTCGATCTGTTAAAGTGAAAAAAAGGAAGAATAACCATTCTAATTTTTTTATTTTTAATTATATATAAAAAAGGATAAATATATTTAAAATTTTTTGACTATACTAGTTAGATTAATGATGAGATAAAATGTCTAAAAAATAATATTAGGAGCTAAAGTGATTGTATCCCTATAATCCAAATGAATAAAGTGATAATAACAACGTAGTAATGCTATAAAATGAAAAGGTATTTTTATCCAAAATTTCTTAACATGTTGAGTTGAATTACTTATGGGGGTAAAGTGACTAAAATATAACGTTAGGGAGTAAACTGATAGTAATAATATAATTTAAGGGGGTAAAGTGATCATAACCCTTTAGTTGACCTGAGAAATCCATCTTTTTATTGTTTTATGAATTAAGTTCACTTTGCATTATTTAATTATACCAACATTTTCACTTTCATCTCTAAGTTGAAACGAGATGCTTTAGTTCCTTAAATATAATGATGATCCCAATTAATTAGCGAAAATGAGATAGACTTCATGGATTAATTTTTATTTTCTTACATCATCGGGTACACATGGATAGATTTAGATGTATGTCATATTATCTGAATTTGATCTTAAACTCCAAAATTTTCAAATATGACATGCATCAAACCATATTAATATTTACACTGTTAATATATAAAAGATTTGCTCTAAATTTTATGTTTAAGTGAAACAAATTTTATACTTTAGAAACTAAAGTGGAATAGATTTTATACATGAGGGGATTTAAGTGAAATAGATTTCATACTTTAGGGATTAAAATATGATAAATTTTATATTTTAGAAACTAAAGTGTTTTATTTTGAAATTAGGGATCAAAATAAATATTCGAGTATAGTTTGATTGATTGATTTGGAACTGACGCATTGTTTCATTTTGGATTAACTGCACCTCATACTTCTCACCCATGCTCTGATTGCAATTTGCATCTTCGAGTACAAAATTTTAGCACTCAACTACCTTTAACTTTTAATTTTTCGCAATCCCTTACAATTGACCAAACCCTGGTAAATGGAAACAAATTCTGCCGGCCACGAATCAATATAAAGACTGTTTTATCCCTTTTCTTCTCCTTCATGGGAAACTCATTGAAATTGTACATATATTATTGCATATTTTCTCCCATTATCCTTACTTCTTAATGTCTTAATGGAAAGGTTCTTCTCAAAATTATCCAAAATTTTGATTTAAAAGTTAGTCTTTAAGGAATGTGTTGGTGGGAAAGAAGGGATAATTGCTTAATTTTTGTTGATGAAACTTTATTATTGTGAGGCATAAAAGCTTTGCTTATTTATGTACAAAACATAGAAAGGAAATAGTCAATAAAAAAACCAAAAATCAATCTCTACTTGGAGTTACGATGAAAATCAATCTAATATAATGTTCCAATTTAAGCCGTCAATTGATTTTCACAATTGTTTGAACTCTTCAATGTGAAATGAGACAATAAAGTGGTGTTGTTAATCATTAATTCATCCATTCACTTCCCATAAGAGTAAAGTTACAAAAAGACTCTTTCAAGTTGCATGAGACAGAAAGCTCAATTACAAAGAGGAAAACATTGTTAGATTGGAATTGGAAATTGGTTTCTAAAACAAATGAAGGATTGGATTTGAAACTTCAACTTGCATATATTTGAGAGTGTTCCTTTAGTCTCATCTCAATTTTTTTTTTTGGTGGAAATATACGAGTTTAGCCTTAAGAGATTCTTGTTAGTTTGCATTGATCTGGGAGGCCATGACTTCCAATTGATTTTATTTAGATTTGGAAGAAGGGGCTGACCCTAGATCTCTTTTACAATAGCTGAAAATGAGCATCTTTTAGCAAATATTTTTGTTAACTCTGATTTTAAGCACTAGTTTGATCTGTAACTCCATTAAAATAGACAATAACTTAGCTAAACTTCCATCTTCAAAGTTTTCGTATGGTAGAATATAAAATAAATATTTAATTTGTTTTATATGCAATATACACTTTGTATGATTGACAATTACTAAATTTTGTTGGTCATAAGTTCTTAGATATACTATATTGACAGTCAAAATTTAGCTAAGAAATTTAGTGTATAGAAAATATTATATCTTAAAAAAATATATTCAAGTCCAAAACACGTGACACATTACTAGTTGTTGTAGGAAGCGAGGAAAATAAAGTGTAAGCGATTCGATTGGATATGACTCATGTTATCTTTTATTAACACAAAGAACAAAGACTCATGGAGGCTTTTAATTATTGAACTCCATTATGTCATTGTGCATAGAGTTTCCCATGCAGCAGATCTTAATCCACCTGACAGCATTTTAATCACATTATTATGTCATTTTGCATTTGTTCTTATGTCACACTAACAATTAACCATTTTATATATTGGCCAAACCATGCAGCAGATTTAATCCACCTGACATGCAACTGACAGATTCTACAAGGGCTAATCTGTAAGCAACAGTTTCTGGACATTGCATTAGTTTACGATAAGGATATTTTGCAGCAAGTACCTTAAAACTCTTCTACCCCAATGCCGACTGATTTCCCTTGATCACTTAATTGGGAGGGAAGAGGAAACATATCACATTAGAGGTGAACGATCAGACGGACAACGAAAAAAACTTGAACCTAAATTAAGGAATCAGGACAGTGCAACAAGATTGCATTAACGTTTGTACTCTTTCTAAACAGAGGCTTGGCTTTATGCTTTTTCTTCTTTTTTTTTCCTGGAAAATGTTTAATGAAGTAAACATGTACTCATTTTACAAGGCACGAGTCTAGATAAAGATCTGCTGATAAAGTAAACAGCTGCAAGACATCATCTGAAAATCTGGCAAGATCAACTTCTTGAAAAAGTACAATAAATTGTGCTGATTTTCTACAATGCAATTGTGCAAAGCACCTGCTCTTCTTCTTTTTCTTCCTTCAATCAAAGGAAAAGCACGTAGACAATGTGTCAGAGGCAGTGAAGGAAGATCTTCTCTGGCAAACATCTCACAGATCATAGACGGTGAAGGAAAGCCATTTCCTCCAAGTGCAGCATTCAGCGATTGATGGTCTTTTCTATGAAGTTTGCGAAGAGTCATATCAATAATCCCTTCCTTGCAGGAATGAAGCATTTCTAAAGTATCCAACAAAACCAATCGCTTGCCATTTTTCCTATCAAAAAATTTCTTGGCCATCTTCTCGACACAATCTTCCTTTATAACTTCAGCATCTTCACATATCACACTAGGATCCAACTGTATACGGTCCTCAAATTTCTGCATCTCCGAGCTAAGACTATCTTTGTCTGCACAGTTGACAGCATCAAGTGCTTTGATCGTGACATCCCTGATGCCTTCCACGAATTGGTGACAAGGCCATTCGTTTGAATGCTCGCACTTCTTGGAAATGGTCAGCAGGAACCTTAGACATTCGCAGAGAGCAGCTAATTCAGTACCGACTTCATGGAAAAAGATTATGGTGTCTTTGAGTAGACAACTAGCCTCAAGCAGTGCTCTTATCGCCTGACGTGAAGGTAGTAATGCCAAATTGTTGCGTAAATGTTCCGAAGCATTTCTTTTCTTGTAGAAGTCAGTTGAATCAAGAAATTTCTCCAGGTTATTCTCATTGAGATCAATCTGTTCTACTAATTCTGGCACTTCATTTGATAATTTTCCTCTGTAACAAGTAGCCATCGTATACTCAAGTTTCGCCCTTATAGTTCGTTGCCTGGGTCCTCGAACAAAATCTCCAACGGGCAGTGCAAGAGGTAGAATCTCTTCTACTAATTGTTCCGGCAGAGTTGGGGCTCCTTCCATTGTCAGTAACATGATGACCCCGCCAACGTTTTTAGTAAATAACTTGGCTTGCAATTTCTTTATATTCAGTATTTTCCTTAATATGAGAATTAATTGATGCAGCTCGTTTACCAGACTAAAGACTCCACTGTCAGCCATCCTTCCTCCTGTCAATCCTATCCCATGTAACGAATACTAAACTTAACCCCAAAAAAAAAAAATCACCTAAATGTTTCGAATTAAAGCTGTAACCAAGATGCCAAAAGCAGCTAGTATGAAGGAATTCCAAGTAAAACTCCAAGAAAAAAGAAAGAAAAATATTAACATAGAGGAAAATTAAAAGTATGGAAACTGGGGTTGGCCATCATTGAAAAATGTGAAAGAGAAGCTACAACTTACCAGCAGCAGAGGAATCACGAAGCCTGGAAGATAGCCAGCCATGAGAATTTGAGGTCAACGAAGATGAAGCAGCCCAACCACCCGAGTGCCGTCAATCATTTCTTCGAACCTTCTTTCATTTACCGTAACGCGACCAATAGTAGAAAAGTTAAAATCATATTTTTTAGGGATAATTTCAGAAACCTCCCCCTGAGGTTTCTAATAATTTCACTAGCCTCCCCTAAAGTTTATAAAATTGTACAAACCTCCCCTAAGGTTAAGGTTTTAATAATAAAATTAGTTCAATTAGAAAAAGTAACATTAAAAAAGTACTTTGAAGAGAGAGATGAAACTTTTATTTTATAAATACCTCTTATGCATATATATAAGTTGTACCAGCAAAAGACTAAAAATAATTAAAAATTAGAAACAATTAATATACATATTTCATCATTCAAAAAGTTCATTCATATTTAATAAATTAGGCAACACAAATAAGCAACAAAACAAAACTACACTAATGATCACAAGATTCAATAAAACAGACTAGTCATCTCTTTTGACATGATATTTGCTATGATTCTTGTGATTTTGAATAGGGCAAATTTTCAAAATTTGCCTTTCTTTTCCCTCCGTTCTCCTTTTCACCAAATTGCCCCATGTTGGCGTTTAATAGCCCCAGATTTTGCTTAATTTAGTCCAGATTTATTTTTAATCCATTTGCTTTTCAGTAAGTAATGCATCATCTTGTTAGTCCTGTTAAGTATCCTATTGTGGCACTTGCTCTCTCTTTCTTGTTAAGTGTGTACATGAGTGAGTTAGCAAATGTTGAAAAAGGCTTTCATGACTGGATATGCATATTTTGTTTTTTACATGTTTTTTTTTCTTTTTTGTTTTTAGCTGGTGACGCATTTCCAGATTTTCTCAAATGGGTAATGAAAATTTTCAATTGCAATTTGCTGGTATGTCAAATTAATGGTTGATCATGATAACTGATAATCCATGTGATACATTTTAAGCTTCCTCTACATGCAACTATGGACTAACACAGTGCGTAAGAGCTGATTTCAAGAAACAAATTCTGGACATCAGACTTCAAACTTTGCGCACATCAGGTTAGCTTCATCCAACCAAGATGGATGACAAGAAGCAATGATCTGTCAGGGTCCCGAAATCATAATCCCAGAACTTGAATTTGGGGGAAAAGGGAAGAGACGAAGAAGAAGGGAATTGCAGAGAGGAGGAATAGAGAGAGAAACAAGAGGAAGTAATCAGAATTTCTGTTAATTTCTTGCATGCCTTTTTCCACCAATCCGTTGGGTACAAATAGGACATCTAATAACCTCTAACTAATTAAGTTACCAATCCTGTGCTAAGTTTGGCCAAAACGTCACCGTTCCATTTATACAATCAATTTGGCCCTAAAACTAATCCAGAACATCACCGTCCCACTTATTCCCTCAATTTGGCCCTAATCTAGCCCCAAAACATCACCGTCCAGACTATTTATTCTCCTATCCTGACATTATCCCCCGCAAAAAGAAAAGTCTTGTCCTCAAGACTGGAATTGAGGAAATTGTGACAAGATGAAGTCTTTGTCTTCCCAGGAAGCTTCCTCCACTCCGACCTGGTACCACTTGATCAGGAATTGAATTATTGGCTGGCCCTGACGTAGAATAACCCTCCTTTGCAATACAGATTCTGGCTGTAGGGGACATTGATCTATACTGTCAAACTTAGGTAGGCTCCCAGAAACTGGTTGCAGTGGTCCAATCTTCTTCTTTAGCTGGGAAACGTGAAAAACTGGATGGACTCTAGATCCCGCCGGCAACTTCAGACGATATGCTACTGTTCCCACCTTAGCTTCCACCTGGAAAGGCCCATAGAACCTGGCAGCAAGCTTGAGGCATTTCCTGATGGCAACTGTTTGTTGTCGATAAGGTTGGAACTTGAGGAAAACCCAGTCGCCCACCTCAAATGATAGTTCAGTGCGTTGCTGATCAGCAAAGAATTTCATTCTCTGCTGTGCCTGGGTTAAGTGCTCTCTGATGCTCCCAGAAATGCGTATCCTTTCCTGAAGGAGTTGAGCTGCTGCAGGGATAATGGTATCTAGGTATGGACCAAAAGGTAGGGGGACAGGTTTGTAGCCCTATAATGCTTCAAATGGAGTTAACTGCAAGCTGGAATGGTAGGATGAGTTGTACCACCACTCTGCCAAAGCTAACCATTTACTCCATTGGTTGGGAAATTCCCCTGTCATACACCGCAAGTAAGATTCCACGCATTGGTTCACCTTCTCACTCTGCCCGTCTGATTGAGGGTGGTAAGCCGAGCTGTAGTGTAACTCAGTGCCAACTAGTTTAAACAATTCACTCCAAAAGGTGCTGGTAAAGATTCTATCTCTATCAGACACTATGGATTCAGGTAGTCCATGCAGCCTGAAGATGTTGTCTAAGAAGATTTGAGCTACCTGTTTGGCAGAAAATGGATGAGCTAAAGCTATGAAGTGACCAACTTTTGTCAATCTATCAATGACCACCATTATAGTGTTGAAGCCCTATAAACTGGGTAGGCTTTCTATGAAATCCATGGTGAGGTGTGTCCAAGCCATTCTAGGGATAAGCAGTGGTTGTAACAACCCAGGAGCATGAACATGCTGAGCTTTAAATCTCTGGCAGACATCACAGTTCCTAATAAACTGGATAACATCATGTTTCATGTTAGGCCAATAGAATAAGGATTTGATTCTCTGCCAACAGCCTCTTTGACCTGAATGCCCCCCCACAGCAAAAGAATGTAGGGTCTGGATTATCTTATTCCTCAGAGCAGTAGTCGAGCCTACATAAATCTTGCATTTGTATTTCAGAAGGTCATTGCTCCACTCATACATTGGCTGGGAAGAAGGATCTACCAACAATTGAGCAAGGATATCCTTGTACTGGCTGTCTGAAGAATAGCTTTCCTGCAGTTCCTGCATCCAATTTGGCTTAACTGTGGACAGTGCTAGACAAGAGCCCGTAGGAATTGAATTCCTTTCATGCAATCTGGACAGGGCATCTGCTACCTTGTTTTCCACCCCTCTTTTATACTGAATTTCATAGTCTAAGCCCAGTAGTTTTGTTAACCACTTGTGTTGTAGTGTAGTTGTAAGCTTTTGATCCAGCAAGTACTTCAGCGACTGATGATCAGTCTTAATGACAAAATGGTACCCTACCAAGTAATGTCTCCACTTAGTTACTGCCATGACCAGGGCCAGTAACTCTTTTTCATAGGCAGAGAGTCCTAGATTTTTTGGTGATAACGCCTTGCTCAAAAAAGCAATGGGATGACCCTCCTGCATCAGCACTGCCCCAATACCACCTCCACTGGCATCAGTCTCAATAGTAAAAGGCTTCTGAAAATCTGGTAATCTTAAGACAGGGGCAGCACACATTATGTGCTTTAGATTTAGGAAAGCCTTTTGAGCCTCTGAATTCCATGCAAAACTGTCTTTCTTGAGTAATTCAGTAAGAGGTTTGCAGATAATGCCATAATGCTTAATGAATCTTCTGTAATAACCAGTTAATCCCAAGAATCCTCTCAGCTCCCTTACTGTCTTTGGGGATGGCCAGCTCACAATACTGTCAATTTTAAATCTGTCCATGGACACTCCTTCTTCTGTTATAGTGTGACCAAGGTAGTCCACAGTGTGCTGTGCAAATGAACATTTGAACGTTTTGCAAACAATTTGTGCTCCCTTAAGACTGATAACACAATTTGCAAGTGCTGCAAGTGCAATTCTAAGGATGGACTGTAGACCAGGATATCATAAAAAAAAACTAGAACAAATTTCCTCAGGTATGGCTGGAATACCTGATTCATGAGGGCTTGGAATGTAGCTGGCGCGTTGATGAGTCCAAAGGGCATCACCAGGAACTCATAGTGGCCACAGTGGGTTTGAAAAACAGTTTTGTATGTATCCTTTGGTTTAACTCTGATTTGATGATAACCAGAGGTGAGATCCAACTTGGACTTGTATTTGGATCCTGCTAGCTCATTGATCAGTTCATCTACATTTGGTATGGGGTATCTGTCTTTGATAGTCATCTTATTTAATCTTCTGTAGTCAACATAGAAACGCCATGTTCCCTCCTTCTTTTTAACCAACAGAACGGGTGAGGCAAATGGGCTGTTACTATGGATTATTATTCCATGTTGCAACATATCCTTGACTTGGTGTTCAATCTCCCCCTTCTGAGAGTGTGGATATCGGTAGGGTCTCATCTTGAAAGGCTGAGATTCAGATTTTAGTGGAATTTCATGATCTACCCCCTTGTAGGAGGCAACTCAGTAGGAGTTGCAAACACATCTGTAAACTCTTCAATTGTATCCTGAACCCTTGCAGGGACATCAGTTTCCTTCACCATGTCACCCTGGCCTAACCTCATGTTCATGCATAACTGCTTTTTGTACTCAATAAAGGTTCTCAGGTCATTTCCTCTTATAAGGTCCAGGTCACAGTCCTCAGCTTGGCCCTATAGGTGTATTGCTTCCCCCTGATCTTGTAAAGAAATGGTCAATTTATGGAAATCAAACGTAATGGGGCTAAACTGGGTCATCCAATCAACCCCAAGTATCATATCCCAGCCGCTCAGGTCCATTACCTTGAGATCATAACAAAACCTGTGCTGATTGATTCCCCACACCACTTTAGGACATATTGCTTTACTGGTTACACAAGCTCCATTTCCCACTATTATAGGTAAAGGCTGAACCAACTGATAAGGGATGTCAAAGGCAATTACCTTCTCACTGCTAATGTAGCTGTCTGAACTGCCAGTGTCCACTAGGATTAGCATATCTTCTCCACCCAGTCTCCCTACTAGAGTTATAGTTTTCCTTTTTAGTGCCTCAGATAGGGTGTGCAGAGACATCTCCATGACCTGTCCGAGGTTGCCTGTAGCCTCATCTTGCTCCCCTACTGCATCTTCAAACTCAGAATTCTCCTCCTCATCATTAATCAAGAAATTTAAGTGACCAAGTTTACACTGGTGACCCTGCCCATACTTTTCTCCACATTTGAAGCAGAGTCCATGGTTTCTCCTGTACTGTACTTCCTGCGGTGAAATCCTCCTGGACTCAGATTCTGTAGCGGAAACAGGCCTGCCTTTGAAGTGAGTGTTTTTGAAAGAGTTGACTGAAGGCACTTTGTACTGTAAGTTGTGATTCTGTGGTTGAGAGAAATTTCTGGAAATCCCCAGCCTATTTTCTGTGGCTATCTTTCCACTTTCTTTGGAGTGCCTGGATTGTAAGTTCAATGCATTCTCCTGTAAAGTGGCTAACTCAAAGGTTTCTGACAAGGAGGTAGGTCTCAGCATCTTGATCATGGTCTTGATTTCATCCTTCAATCTACTGATAAAACTGGATATAAAATACTCCTCGCTCAGATAGGGGTTCTTAGTGGTCATAAGGACTTTAAGCTCCTCGAACTGCTCTTGATACTCTTCCACCTTCCCCACTTGATGCAGTTTATTGAATTCCTCAACAATATCCTTGCCTATATTGTTATCGAACCTTCTATACAGTAGTTCTCCAAACACTTCCCAGGATATCCTAGGCTTCTCCATTTTGACTCCCTAGAACCATCTGTCCGCTTTCCCTTCCAGATACATCTCTATCACCTCCACCTTTTGTTCCTCAGGTATTTGATAGTTTACACAATATTTGTTGCATTTTCTGATCCAATCTCTTGGATTTTCTCCCGCGAATAGTGGTAGGTCAATTTTTGGGGGATTTGGAATTGTCACCTTACCTGTCTCCTTCCTTCCATTCCTATAGCCTTTGGGCCCAGTCTGCAATCTCTGGACGGGCGGTGGAGTCGGCAGCAGTGGCGGTTGATCATTTGGATGCCTCCCTGCTTCTGGACCCCACTTCTCCTTTTCCATCATCATTCTCATGAAGGCACTGAATTCTTGTTTCAGTCTGGCCACCATTCCTTCTACTCGTTTGGTACCTTTTTCCATTTCTGCTCGCAGCTCCTCATGCATCTGTTGTTGTTGGAGGTGCGAAGCTTGGAAGCTTTCTACCATCTCCTGAAACTTAAATTCTTGTTTCTTGATTTGTTTCTCTAGGGTCTTAAACCTGGTGCTTTCCACCATTGGTACCAGTTCCAAGGATTCGCGAGCTCTGATACCACTTTGTCAGGGTCCCGAAATCATAATCCCAGAACTTGAATTTGGGGGAAGAGGGAAGAGACAAAGAAGAAGGGAATTGCAGAGAGGACTGAGTTGAGAGAGGAGGAATAGAGAGAGAAACAAGAGGAAGTAATCAGAATTTCTGTTAATTTCTTGCATGCCTTTTTCCACCAATCCGTTGGGTACAAATAGGACATCTAACAACCTCTAACTAATTCAGCTACCAATCCGGTGCTAAGTTTGGCCAAAACGTCACCGTTCCATTTATACAATCAATTTGGCCCTAAAACTAATCCAGAACATCACCGTCCCACTTATTCCCTCAATTTGGCCCTAATTTAGCCCCAAAACGTCACCGTCCAGACTATTTATTCTCCTATCCTGACATGATCGCATTCACCAACCAAGACACATAGGAAGATCGAAGTCCAAATAATACTCCCTATATCCCGTTTTATATGATTTTGGTTTGTCCCGAAATACTTATCATAGTAAAAAAAAAGAAATAAATAAATAAATGTCCTGTTTTATATGATTTTGGTTTATCTATTGTACTCTTCATGCAATCCAAGAAAATAATATTGAAATCATGTACCCTGACACAAAAGATCAAGAGGCAGAGGAGGTGATGTTAAACGAACATATTAGCTTTTTATTGTAAAACCCTGTAGGAGATTAAAAGATATCCTGCATCGGAACAAACAATTTTGCGAACTTTGAGAGAGTTTGACGAATTTTTGTTTACATGCACTGGATGATTACTTCAAACACATCAAGATCAGTAATAAAACAAGTGAAATTTGATATCAGTTCACTTGGGAGGTACCACAAGAACTAAAGGATTGTGTTTATTCAATGTAAAAAATAAAAGCATTCCTAACCAAATGGGATTCATTTGATTCTTGTCCATTCATATTCAACAAGATGCATTAGAAGCTACCTGCTCAATCGTAACCTAGGACTAGACTCAAATTAAACTACTCGTGACGGATCGTGAGCAGCTTGAGTCAAAATTCGACTCAAATTCGGTCAACATCGAGCTCAAGTCTTTCTTAAGTGCTTGAGCTCAAGCTCAAGCGAGAATGCGCTTGCACTTGCGTTGTGCTCGTGCTCGCGCAAGAGCTCGAGCTTGAGCTTGAGCTCGTGCGCGTGCTTGAGGTCAAGCTCAAGCGTCCAAAACTTGGGCTCAAACTCGAGCTTGAGCGTTCGCGCTCGAACTCGAGTTCGAGGTTGAGCTCAAATTAGAGTTAGAGTTTGAGCTTGAACTTGATCTTTAGATTGGTAGCTCGTCGAAAAGGGCTATGGAGGCTTGGTTCTTGGGGATACTCATTCTAAAATCTGGAATGTGTTCACCATGCAACCAAACATGATCTTTTATGCGACTTGCCACCATGAGTATACCGGATAATAATGAAAATTCTGCATCCCAGAACATTGGAATCTCCTGGCTCATTAGACATGGAATAGATGAGTTAGATACCATGGCACCAACTGAAGAAATAGCAATATTTCCCCCAAAATTTTAGGAAAAGATTGCTCCAAAATTGAATTTATGATATCATGTACCAGCCTTCTCTACATAATTGAGGAAGCTGCAACTTTTACATTCTACTGATTCTACATGTGATTTCTCATCACATCAAAGGAGCACTACAAGGATTGCACAAATAGCTGAAGCCCGATTGATTTTGTCGACTTTATATTGGTGTTTTTTTTTTACCTCTTTGAATGGCATAGAGGCATTACTGCTTGGTGGTGATGGGGGTTGGATCTTTTAGAAATAATTGACTTGCTATCTATAGGCCTGTCTGGTCAAATTGGCAAAACAGCAGAGGTATCAAACACTTAACCTGAGCTTGATGATCAAATGGGCATATAGAACGAGAAAATCCAGTTAATCCGCAATCCTTTCTCATCTGTTTTTGAAGACAATAAAATAAAGTATTAACACTTTCAATGAATTTGGCTTTGGTTTTGATGGAAGACAGAAATCGAAATCTAAGCCAAGATTAAGAACAACAACAACGTTGACACGCTTCACTTTGAAAAATTGGTTCTCTAACAATTAGATGACCACAAAACGACCCAATCACGAATGAAATTAGTTAAATCAAATAAATGTTTTCTTGCACTTGGTTTGGCCTGGAAGATCAAGATCCTGTAAGATGGAGCCGCCTTCTAGGCTTGCATCCGGAGACTAATAAAACTTGGCCAAGAACAACAAATGCTTATATGACCACAAAATTTTTTAACATCCTTGTATATTATTACCAATTCTGATGCAACCAACCCTAGGGAACCAAAACCTGCATCAAAGGAATGGCTATCTAGTTTGAGGATTTCAAGCTAACATGTAGTTCTTAAGTGTCCATCATAAAGCATTTCTGTTTTTCTTTTAGAAACAAATTTTAACAAGGTGTTTCATTTGCATTAGTATATCACAAGGACATTTTGCAGCAAATATCTTGAAACTGTTTTACCAAAAGAAAAAATAATATAAAAACCTAGAAACTACAATGAGGAATCAGGACAGTACGCCAAGGTTAAAATAACTTCTGTACCTATTCTAAATGCACACCGTTTTCTTTCCTAGAAAATGCATAATAAAGTAACTATGTATTCTTTTTAACATGCACGAATCTACATAGGTATCTGTTGGTAAATTAAATACCCTGCAATGCTTCAACAATTGAAAATCGGGGAAGATTAATCTCTTGGACAGTACAAAGCTGTGCTGATCATGTTCTGAGCAATTCTCTAGAAAACTATGATCAACGAGAACAGACACCAGATTACATGATTTATGACGAAAGAGGAGTAGAATTTTACCACAAAGTAGAGCAGAGACAAAAGAGTAGAGTTTCACCATGAAACAGAGTATAAAAGCTATAAAAAGTGTTTCTAGACCCAAAAGCATTTAATTACTAAAACACAAGAGAACTAAAAATATTTATTCGATGAGCCAAAGGTCTAAATAACTCATTAAAAGCTCTCTTAGTGGTTTGGTGATCAACGGACCCATACCGTGACTATAGTAATCTTGCTCTACCTTCTTCACAAAACTCTTCACAAGCTATTTCTCCATTCTTGGTAGCAGCAGCGCATACATTCTAGAGCTATTTCTCCATTTGTGGCAGCAATACCACATGCATTCTGGTTCTATTAACATAGTTTGTCATCATTGTCGGAACTTGACGCTTAACCAGTCTGGTACTAGACCTAACACTAACAACGCTTCTTCTTTTTCCTCGAAAAACACGCAGATAATTAACCTGTTTGTTAGATCTTGTTTAAGGCGGCAAAAAAATTAAGCTACTCATGAGCAGCTGGAGTCAAAACTCGACTCAAGCGCGAGCTCGTGCTTGTACTTGCTCTTGCGCTCGCGCGAGCGCGCGCTCGCTGTCGAGCTCGAGCATGAGCTCGTGCTCAAGCTCAAGCTTGTGAGCTAGAGTTTGACCTTGAATTTGATATTTATATTGACAGCTCGTCGAGCTCGAATTCGAGTTTAAGTTTAATAAAACTAGGCCGAGGTTCGACGCGATTAGGTCAAAACTCGATTCAACTCTATTCATTTGCAACTCTAGTATGATATTAGACACTCTTCTTCTTTTTCCTCCAAAAGCACGCAGATAATGAACCTGTTTGTTAGGTCGTCTGATACCAGACCTAACACTAACTCTTCCTCTTTTTCTTGCTTCAATTAAAGGAAAAGCACGTAGATAATACGTGATAGGCAGTGAAGGAAGATCTCCCCTAGCAAATTTGTCGCGAATCATAGACAGTGAAGGAAAACCATTTCTTCCAAATGAAGCGTTATGCGATTGACGATCTTCGCTGCCAAGTTTCCCACAAGCAGTATCAATCTCTTCCGTGAAGGAATGAAGCATTTCTAAAGTCTCCAACAAAACCAATCGCTTGCCATTTTGTCCATAAAAAAATTTCTTGGCCGTCTCCTCAATACAATTTTCCGTTAGAAGCGCAGCTGAAGCATATACATTTGATACAAATTCCCACATCTCTGACCTAAGAATATCTCTATCTGCACATTCCAGCGCCACAAGAGCTTTGTCAGCAACATCCATGATGCCTCTCACAAATTGGCGACAACGCCATTCATTGGAACGCTCGCACAGCTCAGCAAAGCTCCGCAAGACCTTTAGATGTTGGCAGAGAAAAGCTGATTCAGTAGCCACTTCACGGAAAAAGTTCATGGCGTCTTTGAGTTCTCGACAAGACTGAAGCAGATCCATCACCGCGTCACGACAAGGTAGCAAGGCTAAATTGTGGCGTAAATCTTCCCAGGAGTTGTAGAAGTCAGATTCATCAAGAAATTTCTCCAGCTTATTCTCATTTAAGCCAATCTGTTCTACTAATTCTGGCACTTCTCTTGATAGCATTCGTTCCCAGCCGTCACGAATATTCATCCTATACTCATCATATGACGGTGAAGTAATTTGTGGCTTAGTTCTCCGAACAAAATCTCCTATAGGCAGTGCAAGAGGTGCAATATCTTCTAGTAATTGGTCGGGCAAAGTTGGGGGTCCTTCCATTTCCAATACTCTGATGACCTCACCAACTTTTTCAATAAATAACTTGGCTTGCAATACCTTGATATTCAGTATTTTGCGTAGGATAGTAGTTAACTCGTCCACCTCCTCCACCAACGTATAAACAACTTCATCATTAGCCATCTTTCCCTCTGTCAAAGTCAATTCCTCCACCAACGTATAAACAACTTCATCATTAGCCATCTTTCCCTCTGTCGAAGCCAATCCTACCCAATGTAATCAATAGTAAATTAACAAAGAAATCACCCTTCATGTTTGGATTTAAAGCTTTAACCGGACTGCAACAAGTAAATATAAAAGAAAATAAAATAACAACATGCTAACATCTAGGACAAAGCAAAAGAACTGGGGCCTGACAACTATGAATGCGAGAGAGAAGCTACAGCTTACCAGCAGCGGAGGAGACACGGCCTTTGATGATCGGCATCACGATTGCTAGAAGAAAGCCGGCGATGAGAACTTGTGGTCAACGACGATGAAGCAGCCAAGTCTCCCCAAGTGCCAAACGTCTCGTCTTTGATTTCTTTTCTTCTCAATTTTCTTCGAGGGGCGCTACTTGGCAAAAGCATATTTAGGAGTCCTAGAACAGTTGGACCGGGCTCTGCTAAGGGAGTAGCATACTTGCACTAGTTGCCTTCCCAAAGGAACAATTTGGCGAGACTATTACTAAATCCGAGTAGTTTGAATTAGTTACTGTAAATAGCATTTGTATCGATTTTTGCGTAAAGATAAAAGACTTTTTTTTTAGCTTTGTTTGGATTGCATTTTTCTAAACTTTTTATGAAAAAATTACTATATCAATTTGATATATGTGAGATAAAAAAATAATTAAAAAATATGTCTACGAAAAATATAGCAATTTTTTTTTTGAAAATCTGCAATCCGAACACACAACCAGACAAAATCAAATAATTTGAATTATGTCCATAACTCTCATATAATTTACAAAATGATGGTTTATCACTTTTTAGATTTGACCAAAAAAAAAAAAGGTTTTATCACTACTTGGATGCTTTTCTTCGGTAGGCAGCAACACAATACAATAGGAAAGCACAGGGAAGTCGAATCGGGGGTTGGGGCGGGGGAGGGATGGCAACGGGGCGGGGTTGCCCGCCCCCGCCCCGTTGCCTAATCCCCTGCCCCCTGCCCCGTTACTTATTAGTTCCCCCCGCCTCCCACCCCGTTCCCCGCCTTCCGCTCCCCCCGCCCCGTCTTGCCCCGCTTCCCCCGCGGGATTAATGAAATTTTATTATATAATTTTATTATAATTAAATTTTAATAAATAATCAAGTACTAAAATATTAACACATCACTAAATTATTATTCATTGTAATTTTACAATTGAAACTCATAAAAACAATCAAACAGAAGTTATTTGAATACAATCCAATATGATGAAATAAATATAACTAAAATAGTCAAGTTTTCACTTTTAGTACAAATGCAATCACTAATTCATTATTGTGTTTGTGCTTTTTTTTTTTTTAGAAAAAAGTGTTATTCTATTAAGTGTAATTAGAAATTTAGTATAAATGTATTAGTAAATTTAGTATAACTAATTAATAAATTTTATTAGTAGACATGTATAATTATTCATATAATTGATAATATCAATTATATTACATAAACTACTATACATTATATAATACATCTAACTAATAATATCATTATCATAAGTTTATAATTAATTAACTTACATATTATATATAATTATATATATATTTTTTTTATTTTGCGTTTCTAAGCGGGGGAAAAAAATTCCCCCCGCCCCCGCCCCACCCCCACCCCGAGAGCTCCCCGCGGACATCCGCCCCCATTGCCATCCCTAGGTTCTCTCTTTCTGCCTGCCAACAAGACAATGGAAAAAGGCTGCGACAGATGGGGCCCTCTGCTTTATGAAGCACTCTGCATGAATAGTAACAACGTATTCCTCTCCAGTCCCAAGTCAGCAGAAATGATTAAGGGCAGGAGAAAAGGAAGAAGCCTTGAAAAACCCAGAGGATATGGAACTATGGGAGGCTTGGCAAGAAAGCAACTAAACTAAACTAGAATATAGATCTTTTTTTTTCTTTTCTTTTCTTTTCTTTCCCAGTCCTCCCATTCTTATGGGTTTCTAGAATTTTTTCCTTTCCTTTCTACTCTTACAACCCATCACTTGTTCATAAAATTCTGTGCAAAAGGAGAGTAGTTGATGAACATTTTTGTATAGCAAGAGGAATAAGAGGGAAAGGGAGCTTAATCTTCAGGAAATTAGTGGGATGGGCAACAGGGGCAGATTTAAGGTAAATTTTTGGTCATTTTTTGTTTTGAGGGATCAAATCTTGATCTTCCCTAGTCCTCCCATCCCGGTGATTTCCCGTGGATTCTCCTCTTCCACAACTTATTCTACAGGCTCAGATCTCTCGAATTCAGAACTTAGGAGTAATTGCTTACTAAGTCATAAGGTAGTGGGCTCTCTTTGCTCTGCTTTCTTGTCCGTTGATCAATAATTACTTCTTAGTAGAAGTAGTTTTATGTTGCTTAGATATGTTTTGTGCAAAACTTTCTCATCATATTTCCTGACCATGGTTCTAGCCGAAAAGAGATATGGAGGCTTGGATCTTGGGGATACTCATTCTAAAATTTGGAATATGTTTACCCTTCAGACAAACGTGATGATCTTTTATGTGACCTGCCACCATGATCATGTATAGGGATAATAATGAAATTTCTGCATCCAAAAATATTGGAATCTCCTAGCTCGTTGGACATGAAATAGATAAGTTAGACACCATAGCATCAGCAAAAGAAACTAAAAAACAAAAACCAAAATTTTAGAAAGGGATTGCTCCAGAATTATACCCTTCACTTTGAAGTGGTGGTTTATCACGATAAAGTTTGTGGAGGAAGTACACCAATTGATTTCATTTTCCTTCTTGTTTACACAATTCAGATGCAGATATTATCTGGGCTATCTAGGGGAAGTAGAAACTCACTACATGTTTTGTCCAAAAGAATTCAAATTAGAAAAGAAAAAAAAGAGAAGACCATGATTCTGGCGCTTCTATTTTTAGCCTTCAAGTACTCCACTCTTAATTTTAGCTAATCAAAATGACTTGCACACTTCCAAATTTGGTTCTCTAACAATTAGATTACCCAATCACAAATGCAACTAGTTAACTCAAATAAACTTTTTCTTGCATTGTGTTCCAACGTTAGGTTCTCAAGATCCTGCAAGATGGACACTCTTTCAAGGCTTGCATCCGGAGACTAAACTTGGCCAAGAACTATAGTATAAGCTCAGAATTTCTTGTCACATTACTAATCCTGTATGGAAGTTTTAATACTTCGAAGGCACCAAGGCATGAAGAAAAACGCATATTCTAGCCTAACTACATGTTTATATTACCACGAAAATTTTAACATCCTCATATATTATTACCAAATCTGGTGCAACCCTAGGGAACCAAAACCTGCATGAAGGAGATACACAGGAATGGTTGCCTAGTTTGAGGATTTCCATGTAACGTGACCTCTATTTCAAAGAGAGAATTCTTTATTGCGCAGTTCATCATAAAAGCATTTCTGTTTTCTTTTAGAAACAAATTTTGACAAGGTGTTTCATTTGCATTAGTATATACCACCAGGACGTTTTACAGCAAGCATCTTGAAACTATTTTACCAAAAGAAAAAAAAATAAAAATAAAACCGTGAAACTAAAATGAGGAATCAGGACAGTACATTAAGATCAGTGTGTTTTTCCTTTTGTAAATTAACTTTTGCACCTAAAATCAGGACAGTAAATTAACTTTTGTGCCTATTCTAAACGCACACCGCTTTCTTATTCCTGGAAAATGCATAATAAAGTAAACATATGCATTCCTTTTAACGTGTACGAGTCTCTACATGAGTATGTGCTGGTAAATTAAATGCCCTGCAAGGCTTCAACATATGAAAATCAGGGAAGATTAATCTCTTGGACAGTACAAAGTTGTGCAGCTGATCATGTTCTGCAATGCATTGCATTCTTTAGAAAACTATTTAACTCTTCTTCTTTTTCTTCCTTCAACTAAAGGAAAAGCACGCAGATAATATGTGAGAGGCAGTGAAGGAAGATCTCCCCTAGCAAATTTGTCGTGAATCATGGACAGTGAAGGAAAACCAGTTCTTCCAAAGGAAGCGTTATGCGATTGAGGATCTTCCCTGCCAAGAGTCGTATCGATCTCTTCCGTGAAGGAATGAAGCATTCGTAAAGTCTCCAACAAAACCAATCGCTTCCCATCAAAAAATTCCTTGGCCGTCTTCTCGACACAATTTTCCTTTACAAGCTCGGCTGAAGCATATACATTTGATTCAAATTCCCGCATCTCTAATCTAAGACCATATTTATCTGCACATTCCAGCGCCTCAAGAGCTTTGTCGGCAACATCCATGATGCCTCTCACAAATTGGCGACAACGCCATTCATTGGAACGCCCGCACAGCTCAGCGAAGCTCAGCAAGAACTTTAGATGTTGGCAGAGAAAAGCTGATTCAGTCCCCACTTCACTGAAAAAGTTCATGGCTTCTTTGAGTTCTCGACAAGACTGAAGCAGATCCCTCACCGCCTCACGACAAGGTAGTAAGGCTGAATTGTGACACAAATCTTCCCAGGAGTTGTAGAAGTCAGATTCATCAAGAAATTTTTCCAGCTTATTCTCATTTAAACCAATCTGTTCTACTAATTCTGGCACTTCTCTTGACAGCATTCGTTCCCAGCCGTGACGAATATTCTTCCTATACTCATCATATAACGGTGAAGTAATTAGTAGCTTAGTTCTCCGAGCAAAATCTCCTACAGGCAGTGCAAGAGGTGCAATATCTTCTACTAATTGGTCCGGCAAAGTTGGGGGTCCTTCCATTTCCAATACTCTGATGACCTCGCCAACTTTTTCGATAAATAACTTGGCTTGCAGTACCTTGATATTCAGTATTTTGATTAGGATAGTAGTTAACTCGTTCACCTCCTCCACCAACATATAAACAACTTCATCATTAGCCATCTTTCCCTCTGTCAATCCTACCCAATGTAATCAATAGAAAGTTAACAAAGAAATCACCCTTCATGTTTGGATTTGAACCTTTAACCGGACTGCAATAAGTAAATATGAATGAATTCCACGTAAAGCTCCAAGATATAAAAAAGAAAAGAAAAGAACGTACTAACATCTAGGACAAAGCATAAAATCTGGGGCCTGACAACTTTGAATGAGAGAGAGAAGCTACAACTTACCAGCAGCAGAGGAATAAAGGGCCTCTGATGATCGGAATCACGATTGCTAGAAGAAAGCTGGCGATGAGAAACTGTGGTCAACAAAGATGAGGCAGCCCAGTCGCCCCAAGTGCCAGAAGTCTTGTCTTTGATTTATTCTCGACTAATTTTCTCGAGGGGACCTAGTTAGTTGACAAAAGTTTTAATATTTAAGTCCTAGAACACTTGGACCTGGTCCTGCTAAGGGAGTAGTATACTTGCATTAGTTGCATTCCTAAAGGAACAATTTGGCAAGAACTATTACTAAATCCAAGTAGTTTGAATTAGTTACTGTAAATAGCATTTGTATCGATTTTTGTGTAAATTATAATCCATCTTTTTTTTTTGGGTTAACAACATAAAAGCCCCCTGTGATATAGCTATTATATATAAAAATCCCTCGTGGTTTCATATCATACGTGTCGGTACCCCATGGTTTGAATTATTTTGAAAAATCGACGGAAATCGTCAAATGTAACGGGGTTAAGTGAAACGACGAAAATACCCTTTTAATATAAGCGAAAATTGCAGAAGTATCTTGTACTGGTATCGATAGTAATGCTTCTCTCTCTAATGCTCAAGATTCTGATCGATCTGAAGGTGCAGGTGTTTCTGAATGTCTCCATGGCGAGGTTGATATTGGCAGTCATGAAACTTTTCAACCAAATGGGGATCAAACCAATAGAACAGCAGAATCTGGGGTAGTGTCTCAGTTGGTTGAAAGCAAAAGTGAATGCCGCCAGACCAATGGTAATGATGTGATGCAGATTGATATTCCTAATGATCTGATGCAGGTTGCTATTCCAGATACTAAGTCTTTAGAGGACTAGAAAGATATAGGAGTTGGAGAATAGTACCAGCATGATGGACATGTTAACCATAAAGAGCAAGATTTATCAAGTCCAGAAAATGCTTCTGAGACGGACCCAACAGAAAGAATGTACGAGAAAACAGAAAAGCTTCCAAGCTTGCTGAGTATACATCAAGCTGGATATGTTTCGCCACCACAGAATGAAAATGAATTCTCCATAACAGATTTAGTTTGGGGAAAAGTCAGAAGCCATCCTTGGTGGCCTGGACAAATATCTGATCCTGCTGATGCTTCAGAGAAGGCAGTCAAATATTACAAAAAGGACTGTTTTCTCGTAGCATATTTTGGAGACCGAACTTTTGCCTGGAATGATGCATCTCTCCTAAAGCCCTTCCGGCCACATTTCTCTCAGATAGAGAAGCAAAGTAACTCAGAAGCATTTCAAAATGCTGTTAGCTGTGCTTTGGATGAGGTTAAAAGACGTGTTGAGCTAGGTCTAGCCTGCTCTTGTATACCAAAGAGAAGCACATAAAAGATTGAATATCAGATTGTTGAAAACACTGGGATCCAAGAGGAATCAAGCAGAAGAAAAGGTGTCGAAAGGTAAAGTTCTCTTGTTACTAAAGTGTGAAGGGTAAAGTAGGCATATTAGGAACAAGTTTGTGGTAGAAATCTATTTTCCATAAGAAACACGGGCATTTCCAGTGTGTTTAAGACAAACGCCGTACATTTGACGATTTCCGTCCACTTTTCAAAATAATTCAAACTATGAGGTACCGACGCGTATGATATCAAACCACAGGGGACTTTTCTGTATGATGGTTATACCACAGGGGACTTTTTTGTTTTTAACCCTTTTTTTTTTGGGTTCAAAGTAAGTGAAACTGTGAAAGCATGACCCTTTTTTCTCTTCTAAAGTGCATATTCATATAATCAGGTGATCTAGAAAGCAAAGAACATTTTCTACAGAAATCTCGAGCCTGGAATTGCTTAATTTGGAGAGTGATACCCGGGAAGCGCAGCAGATGCTACAGCGTTTACAAAAGAGAAGCAATCGCCTAAGCCACCCATACAAGTATTGCAAACCGAAAATGTGGAGCTTGTTATTTCTTTCCGCGTTTTTTTTTTCCTGAATGATGTTGATGGTTAGGCTGATACAACATTCCTCAAAGCTGAATATTGCAAGCCAACTTCTAAGCAGAAGCTTGTTTCTATTTCCTATGTCTCTTTCTTGAATCCTGAACCCCGGTTAACATGTGTAGGTTTTCACTGCAGATTTGGGTACTAGAATAGAACTAACTCGCAACAACTCAAATCCGTTTGTCTTTTTCATTATTCGACTAGCTTATCTCTGTTCTGAATTCATATCAAACTAGTTCAGATTTTATATGTAAGCATATTTATTCATTCCCTACAATTGAAGGCTTAATTCTTTAGGGGGGGAAAAAGTTCCAAGACATGCTATAAACAATCAATTCTAATCAGGACCGTACTGAGAACAGAAACTTAAAAAATGAGCATAAAAATGGGTACCATAATATTAATCATCAAGAACAGACTAGAATAGATTAGGTGCTCCCAAGCCACAAGAATGGATCAGTTCAGGAAGCTTCTTTTTATGTCTTTGCTTTCCTCTGGGCTACTGAATTGTGCTACTGACCATCATTCGATCTGGCTTACTAACAGAACAGAGCTGCACGTCATGCTAGCTATAATAGACACCATTTTTGTCTGCATGGGTTAAGATCATGGGAATTTGGGTTCAAGAATTATAATTTAGCAAAGAGTATCAGTGAGAGAAGAAACCTTTAAGATGGATCATCAAGATGGATTTAATCCTATTTGGAGCAATGTCAGGACAACAAAGTCAACAACCGATCAAGCATTAAACAAGAGCCAGTTATAAACATTACATGGGAAATCAAGTAGTCAAATTTAAGAAGGATAGAAGGTGTTGAATCAAGTATTCAATTTTCAATGGACTACTTATCTAGTCCCAAAACCACAGGCCTCCTATGAGAAGAGATGCTTCTGTTCAGATTGTACTTTCATGAAGGGATATTGGTACCAACATCTCTTCACCATTAAAGTTCTCCTTCCTTTCGCCAAATTAGATACCTTGACACTGTCTTAACAGACAACATACTGGTGGACTGCATTTCAGCCCCGTTATTAGAGGGCAATAGTAAAGTGCTTAGAAGGAAAACTCATCAGACAAAAGTGAAACTGGATGCATTTCTGAAGCAATTTTTCCCTGGATTGATGGAGAAATTTTATTAAAACATTCTATTGCAAAATTTAATCGAATAATACACAGATGTCTACCATCAATAACTTCTTTACAGAAGAAAGGATTACATCCAATAACTAGGAACATACACAAAGATTATTATTGCAAAGCTTCTTGTGAGAGGAATTCAAGACATCCATGTTAACAGTCATGAAACTCATCTGAACCATAATAGATAATCAAGCAGGACATCAACATAGTACTACTGACACAGGCATCAAGAAAACGTAGAATAGGAGGACCAACTTGTCAAATCCTAACTGAAGACTAAAACCATGAATATGCATTTGGCAGTCACAGCGCATTTGCCACATGAGAGAGAAGTCTTACAAATGGTTATTTGGAAAGAAAGTTGGAAACAAAGAAGTTGTAAACATTGGATATTAAGAGAGAGAATTGAAAGCACTCCTTATGCAGAGTCTGGATTCCTGTTACAAAAAGGGGAAGAAAAATAAGTAGCTTCATAGACAGAAGAAAAGAAAAGAATGCCATTAGCAATAGTAGGAACAGGAAAAGACATAACTACTCGAATCTCAGACATAAACCGTTTGAATCAAAGTGCTTCCGTCTTAACTGAAGTTCAAACTATCAGATGCAAGTAAAAGATCACAAGTCAAGAATCATACAAGGACAGTGTTTAACATACCGATCACTTCTGATAATAACATCAATGCCTTCAATCTGTTCTTGAATTTCTTTAGCAGAATTCTCAATAGGTTCACTACAATAGTGGGCCTCAAGCCGCTGCAGGGTACCAAGTTCCTCAACACCAAAAGGGATCTCCTCCAAGAGCTTGCATGATTTCAGAACAAGATGTTGAAGGCACGGAAAGTGGCGAACTATTATTGCTTCCCAATGGATCAAATCAGTGTTTTCAATTAGCAAATGCTTTAGACTATGAAAACCTTCTTCAGTTGGCTCCCATTTTGGCCCTTGGAAAGCATAATTTTTGAGTTTAAGCACCTCAAGGTTGGGCAACATGGCAATAAAGGTCATATCTTCCCATGGTAAGTAACTCCAACTCAAACTCAAATGCTTAAGAGTCGCTGGCAAAGCAGCCAAGCCCAAATTCTTTCGCACTTCTCTATTTTGTGTGTGGAAGGAACAGTCCAGGGTTTCAAGTTCTTGCAAGCAAACAAGATTATTTAGGACTTGTGACAAACTGTCTGTGCTGTAGTCTTCTTTAGTTTCACAAATTCCCAGTTTCTTAAGATGGGGCATGACACTGAAAAATTCCTTTGTGCAACATGAAAATTGTATTGTATAGAGAGTTTGCAGGTGTTCTGAAGCAAATGGACGAGGAAGGTTATCTTGTACAGTGAAAGGATTCTTTAGATGACAAGCTGCAGTAATATGCACATGCCTCAGTGAAGGCATACTCCAATACTCCAGTAACAATGTTGGGCTACCGCCAGATTCCCGACAAAGCCATGGACCATGAATGACTAAGGTCTGGAGATTCCTCAGTTGGGAAACTGAGGCAGGAAGCTCATAAGTAACATTGAGTGCAAGATACCTCAAATGTATCAGTTTTAGTATTTGATCAGGGAAGTAATCGAAATGCAGAAAGAATATGTCTAATACTCTAAGCAACTTAAAGCCTAACTGAAAGAATAGAATATCAGGTACTATATTAGCACCCAGTGTGAAACACAGAAAAGATGAGACATGTGGGATTGCAGGTGCTGCAGACACATCACTGTAGGGATCCAAATGGAAACTCAGACGACGTTGATTACGCGTGCCTGTTTGAACACCTTTGGCACTTCTCCTTTGTATGACATGCATGAAGTTCTCCTTTTGAGCTTCTTTCAAGCACAATTCCCGTAAGAAGTCATGGAGGCGACAAGTTTTGACTTCCCCCCCAAAGCGTTTCTTTTCAACCAAAACTAAGTTTCTGGCGATAAGGTCTTCCAAGTAATCCTCTCCAATCTGTTCCAACTGTTTCTCTGAATCCAAATATAAGAAGCCCTCTGCAGCCCATA